TTTTTTTTTTTTTTCCCTGCCATTATCGATTTTAACATTAAACACTTATGACATTAAGAAAAAAATACCATCCACACGTTTTGATAGTATTTATTATCTATATATCTTTATATCTATTATATGTTTGATAGTATTTTTTAATTTTGTTTTTCGTTTTTGTAACAATTGCTATTAAAACAGTAATACAGTAAAAATAACGCAAGAGTTGTACTAACTGTGCAAATTGAATATGCAGTATTTCTTTAAAGAGACTGATAAAGAATGGAAGCAAGTCAGTAATGAACCTCCTTAATCTAATGGCATTTTTCATGGCTCCCACTAAGTCTTCTCACATTAGCATGCATATGCATTTTTTTATTATTATTTTAGTTTTGGATTTTTTTTTTTTCCTTTCTGCTCAAGCCTATTCATTGCAATTCACTAGCTGTACTAACTCAGCACCTTGCCATGCTTTACGTTTTATTTTCTGGCTGATACTAACATACTCATTCCGCAATCTGCTTATTCTTATCCATTCTTTAAATACAAATTAATAAAAACAAATAAATTGAATGTTATTCCAAAAGCTGCATTATCCCAGGAGATACAATTTCCTTTTTTTTTTTCCTTCTTATTTTATTTTGTATCTGAGTTGAAGAAAAAAGCATGTTCAGGATCTAACTTCCATACTCAGCTTCTTTTCTTCCTTTTTTCCCCCCTCTCAAAAAAGAGAATAAAAAAACCCAGCCCAAATAAATCTTGCCTGAAACATCCTGCTAGACCAGCCACAATGACTTTCCTCTACCTACTCTTTTAAAAGGGAAAGAAACAGTCCTTTATAAAGGGATACTGCAGCTTTAATTGCAACAGCTAATCTCAAGAGTTGAATAAAAATGTGATTATCACTTTTTTTTAACTTTTAAATCAAAAGTCAATATTTTGCAATTAATAACAAGGACATTGATTTTTATTCCCTTTTTTATTTTTATTTTTTCCTTATTTTTATCTTTCTCTTTTTTCTCCCCTTTTCTCTCTTCCTCTCTCTCTCTCTCTCTCCCCCCCTCTCCCCTTTTCTTTTTTTCCTCTCTCCCTTTTCTGCTCGCTTTTCTTGAACTCATTCAGACCTGAGCGCTCCTAAGAAATGCCGAGCGCGCTTTGGCCTTGATCAACAGAATAACTGGTGCGGCCCCTGCAGGTGTGTATAGTTTTCCCAGACTCGCTATGGCTGATTTGCAGCTGGTTTATTTGGTACTTTCCCCTTTTTTTTCCTGCCTTGTTGCTTTGTAGCTCTGTGTTGTGATCTAGAAGACACAAGGGAGTGGGACACTGCCATGAGTTATCATCTCTCTGAAAGGGTTTTGCTTTTTTTTTTTTGTTGTTGGTCTTTTTTTTGCCTTCCTCTTTGCTGCTGCTAGCCAAAAACCCACTGTAAAACAGCATCAGCCTTAAGCCCATCTGATCCGTGGCTCAACCACGCTCCTGCCCTCCAAGCCTCCACCCAAGGAAAGTTGCTCCCAAAGCCCTTGATAACACGGCGTTGAGTGCGGTACCGACACCGGACAGACGCACGGCCGTGTCGGAGACTTTTTTTGGTTTTCTTTTGGCTCGTTGTGAAAGTCCTGTTTTCTTTCCTGCCCTTGGTACGAGGGGAGATTACCAAATAAAACTAAGGTGACTGAAAGCTAAACGTAGCTGTAGCTAAGATGACGCAGTCCAAATGAGCTCTATCCACCATTGTGTTGTATTTTTTGTGTTTACCTTATGCTAACAGATGCAAATACTCCAAAGAAGTGTCGGGCATTGTTCGGGCTTGACCGACAGAGTTTATGGTGCAAACCATGCAGGTATAATACTACCCATTAGGCCTCTGGGGAAATAAAAGCAATCTGTCCTCTTAGTGCATTTGTGTGATTTTATTTTTTTAATCTTTTTTCCCCACTCCCCACCTTTCTCTCTCCCACAGCATCAATTGCTAATAATCTTTGATCTTTGGAATTTCTTGCTAATTTAATGCCATTTTCTCTCTTTCTTTACCAATAACCTCTCCCTGGTGGTAGAACTGGGAACAAGAAAACTTCAAGTCCTTAAAGCTGGCAGTTTTTTGGCTTTTTTATTATTTTTTTCCAGATTGTCAGCAAAATGAATATTTAGCTGGATGTCTATATTTTGTCTTTCATTTGGGTCTATGTCCACTCCCTCCAAAGGCTTTTTAAAAAGGTTCTGGGATCTGCAGCACTAGTGTTTTTCTCATGATTAGAGATGTAAAAGCCAGTGTTTACAGCTTATGTTGTACTCATTTTTTTGGTGTTATCTGCAAAATTAAATAGCTACCTGTAGGCTTCTACGCCTCGGTAAGGTTTATGTAGATATCAGTTTTTTAAATGATCTGATGTCTTTTTTTTCTGATTCCGAAAATACATTTTTTCGTAAATTTTATCCCAAAAAGTGAGCTGTAAACACCTGAGCTCTAGACAAAACTAATTACAACTTTAGTAGGACAGTTTCCAGCATTAAAAGGAGATGAAAGACATCAAAGAGCCCAAATTTCGACAGCCCATGTTCTACTGGAGTTTAATTCCATGTATAACTCAGTACGTACTTCTTTCTTGGTGGAGGGATACCGAGTAGTTCTTTTCTCATTCCTTTTTCCTTATATGATCGCGTTTGGTTAAATTTGTTGTTTCTTTGTTCTGATACAAGCAGTCTTTGAATTTGGAATATTATGATGGTAGGTATTTCAACCCAAACCACACTCTCTGTGTAGTGATTCCTCTCCCACATTTTTCCCTCTTACTCATGCCAGTCCCATGTGCTCCATCTCATTTAGAATGTAGATCAGATGTCCATCATATTTTGTGTATGCACGCAGTCTTGTTTGTGCTTAGTGTCAAGGAAAACACGGATTGAGGGTGGTGTTGTGTGTCAAAATACCAGCTAAGGCACCAGAAATGTCTTGAACAGATTGCATATTGTCCCATTCGAGGCATGCTAGTATTGGGTGTTGGGGTCTTAAATACCAGTACCAGTATGTATGTTAAGCTTTGAAAGCAGCAGTTGCTTAAAGCTAAAAGGAAGCAGAGTTCGGTCCACAAGTGCTGGGTAGCCACTTCACTGTGTCAGGAAGCTCGAGTCTCATGCTAGCCAAAGACTCGAATGCTGTGTTTAATTAGGCTTTATTCTGTGGTTAGTTCACTACACACTATCAGCAGATATACGTGTAGTGTAGAGATAGAGTATTTGAAGCATGTCAGGCTCTGTATGCCAAGTACCAGCACCGGGGGCACATCATGTTTGTTTTTTTTCCCTAGCTGCTTAAGTAAATAGCATACTTTAAAAACTACTTTTTATCAGCAAGGGGACTTTTCATTCGGTCTGTATAGTGCTGAGGTTACATGTGAAGCATAAACCCTCTCTTAACTTACACCAGATTTTGGTCAGAAATCTTTGCAGCACATCAGAGACGACTTCAGTGGTGTAGCTGATAGCTTTAGGCTTACTGATACAGAGTCAGCTGCTTTTCTTTTTGGTTTTGTTTTGTTTTGTTTTTAAATGCATGGAGGCATTTTATCAGTAGGTATTAGAGCATTTCCCTCCTAGTTCTGGTCCTAACCATTATAACATTGCATATGCTAGCATGGTAGCATTTTGTAGCGCATCTTAGGTAGCTGCTAAAGATGTGCGGTTTGCTCCTGCAATAGAAACTGAGACATCTTTGCTCACAGCAACTGAGTAAACCCTTGTCATTCTCTGTGGCTTTCACTCATGGCAATTGCAGCATTACAGGTTTCCTGATGCTGTCCTGGGGCTAGTTTCAAGGGCAGCACGAGCCGGGTCAGGTCTGTTGCTGTTTGCCAGACTGATGTCGCAGTTGATGCTTTCAGAGTGATGTGCAAGTGAATAATCCTCACTAGTGCTCTGAGGGGGGATATGTAGTATTTTTGTTCCCACTTTTAGGAGAGCAAAACTGAGGCACAAAGAGTTCCTTGGATGTTTACTTATTCCCCTTCACCAGAGTTGCCTGGTGTTGTTCATGTCTGGTAAAATTTGGCTTGCAGGGTTTGGGGTTTTACCATCTGTGCATTCTGTCCCACCTAACCCTGACACGTACGTGACCACAGATTACACATGGTGGGAATGGCTGAGAATTGTCCCCGCCTTGAGCCATCATGATTTAAATAAATGGCTTTTCAGACTAAAAGTGGCCGCACTATTAAAGAGTTTAATTTACAACAGAAGCAGAGGAAGCAATCTGCTCCCTTAATCCTAGTCAAAGGAAAATTACTTCAGGTTGCAGACCAGTGGGTTTAGTTTTAAAAAGGTCATTAACTCTGCAGAGTCAGAAAGTCAGGTAGACCTGGTTTAAGTCTGCTTTGCCATGGGAACTCTTCCTTTCAGGCCACAGAACTTAAATAGTTTTAAAAAGATAATTTTGAATTTTTGGCATACTAGATTCAAACTGCCTCCAGTGAAATAATTATCTGCCTTGTAGGTTCAGAGCAATGCAGTTGAATGGCTTCTGGACCACCATCAATGAGGCAGGCAGAGCTTGGGTCTCTGCTTGCAAATTATTTTAATTTGGGGATGACGGGGGGAGCCCTGCAGTCTCCAAATTGTGAAAACCCACCTTTCCACACAGGTATTATCAGTGAGCTTTGTGAAGCATCACTGATCTGCTTTGCCACTGGAGCTGTACAGAAGGTCCAAAGATGAACTGTGGCCCTGGTAGCGTTGCACAGCTGAAGCTAGGAAGTGGTGAGAGAGAGGAGAGGGGCGGGGAGGAAGAGCAGCAGAACTGCCCTTAGCCAAGAGCCAGAGGCTTCCTGCGTTGTTTGTTGATGGTAGAAGAATTAACAGGTTCTGTTTTGAGCCCACCAAGTTAATTTTTTTCTGTCTTTTAACGTTGCTCTAATAAAGCATGGTTTACAGCCTTCACTTGCTGTCTTCTATCTTTCTTTCTTTCTTTCTTTTTAACATTTAAGTTGCATGGTTGTCTTTAGTTTTTAGCATGTGTTGATCTGCAGGCTAACGTGGTTAAAACTCTAATAGCCCTAATCCCTTACCTTGCCATGTGGAACGTGGAGCAGAACCTGAGAGCAGAGCCCGAGTCTCTGGAGGAAGGGATGTCACAGCACTGGTCCCTCACTGAAGTTGGCAGAAAGATGGGGTGCCGGGGTTGCTGTTCCCGTCTTGGTTACGGGAGATGATATCCTTTAACTCCAGGACCAAGCTGGTTAGATCTCCCTTGCAGTCGAGAAACATCTAGCCCCATTGCCTAGACAGCAGACCTTGGTTTAACCCAAGTCAAACGCAGTTGCCGTACATAGGGGAGAACATTGACGACCAGCAGTGGAGCTAGGGCACCTACCGAGTGGGGAATGTCACCCAGCGACATTCAGCTTCTGCGCCACTCTCGGGCTTCCTCTGATGAAGTTGCTGAGCTAGGGCGAGGCATCCACTCGAGAGGGAGAGCAACCTACTCCTTCACGTTAGTGGCTTTGTGCAGCTTAGCTGAGTGTCCAAAGTTTTTGTGGCAGAGCTGCTCTGGACAGACTTTGTCATATACCTCGGGCTGTGTAACATGTGTTCAGCACTGCCCATGGAAAGTGTGCTTGTGAATAGGAGGGCTGGAGAGCCATCATTATGGGGGTCAAGGTGGCCACTGAATGTTGTTCTGCCAGATGCCATGGTTGTTTGCCTCATTATTTCTGTCCTGCTGCTAGAATGGTCTTGCATATACTTGGCAAGAGAGATGGTGTGAAACTGTCATCTGTTTTCATTGCTCCTTTACGTTATTAAGTGGACAGAGGGAGGAGAAAAGATCTCTGTCGGGTCGCTTACTCATTTATTTGAAGATGAACAGCTCTTGCAAGACTCTCGTGTTCCCTGGTGTGAAATAAGCTCCCTGTTGCTCCTCACCTTTGTACCTGTCGTCGTGCTCTTCACCTACTGAAATTGAATCCCACTCTGGAGTTAACATGGATGGCCTCTCAGAGGAAAGTGCCCCAAAACGCAGACGAGCGGCTTCCCAAATCTACCACTCTTCCTTAAAACAAAAAGTAAAACTGAGTCGATTTAAAGCCACAACCTGCAGGCCATACAACCAGTTATTCTTGTTATTTTGGATCATACGCTGTTTATCCTGTTCTTTTCCTGGTTTTTCTTCTGTTTGCTTTGTTTGTTCGTTTTGTTTTTATTTCCCCTCTCTCTCGTTCTCTCTATGATATATCCCTCCTGTCTGACTCTGACGTTTCTGGATTTGGTGTGGTTCTTAACAGAGGAGAAAGCAATGAGCAGTAGTTTGCAGCCGTCCTTGCCTCCCAAGGGCAGTGCATCGTAAGACACGACAGGTGACGCAGGTGTAGAGATAGCCCCGTTGAGCTGGACAGCGTTATGGGACATCTTGAGATACCACCAACTATCCACAGATTTTATTTTATAAGGATTAATTTTTTTTGTTTGTTTTTCCGGAGGAAAGTCAAGTTCATAGATTAGCACAGTGGGCTCCAAAAACATCTTATCTGATTTTCTGATTATTAAAATAACTAAGAAAAGGAGGCGGCCTGAAGATGAGGGGGACGAAGAAACAATTGGTGAATCCTTTCCAAATCTGTTAGCCGAGGGGAGGTTCCCGAGCAGGCCCGGTGCCGAGGACACCCCGCCAGACCCCCAGGACGGCGCGTGGGGCCGGGGTGCC